TACTCTGGGTTTGTTCTGTTTCTATAAATGACCATCTCCTTGTAAAAAAGCAAACCAAAGGTGAAGGCTTAATCTCTCCCTGGGGTACCTTGGTTGCTGCTTGTGGTGTTTTTTTTTTACCCTTCTCAGTTGTTCAGTCTCTTGACTGAAAAGAGAAGTTACATACATGCCAAATTAGTCTTAAATTTGACTTTGGCTGATCTTCCATCAGCTGTTTTATGGGAATCTGTGGGATTACTGTACATAAAATTTCACCTGAAATGGATGGTAAACTGCAGAGGAATGCCTGCTCCAAGATGAAGTAATTCTCTGTGCCTAAAAAAGGGAAGTTCACAAGTTTTAAACAATCGCTCCTTTCTTTTTTTATGTATGTAAAAAGTTCAGAAAGTAAAAGAGATAACTAGAATGGGAATATGTTTTGATTCAGCAACTGAAACAGTTTCCTCTCACTTTTGTGCCTTAAACTGACATGGTAGATCTGCTGTAATTACTGGAAACCTATGCCCTACAGACTTTATTTTTAGCAAGTGAAAGGTTGTAGCTTGGAATTAGTTTTATAGCGTGTTTGAATATTTTGGATTTTTTACTTGACCTAAGGCAAAAGTATCTTACGGTGGGATTAGCTATTGGCATCACAAATGGTTATGTTAAGATGATGCTTTGTGTTTTTTCTAAACAAAGGCTGTAAATGATATGCTTTCTTCATGTATGATATTTGTGGCTGCTAATGGTTTATTCTTGGAAGAGTCTTTGCATATGTTGAGCACTTTGAGATAGTGATGGAACGGTTTGCAAGGGCATGCATGCCTTTCTGTAATCTAATCTCAAAAGACATGTTGCTTTCACATGATGTGGTTTTGAAGGCTGCTTCTGTATGTATAAGGTTGGCACAGTACCTCTGTTCCTGAAGCAAAGGGTGATAAATATTAATAAACATGGTCTAAGGCATACAGCAACTACAGTTTCAAAATGTCATTGGGATATAAAATCTTTTCTTGCATGTGTATTTTCCACTCTGTGTGTGTGTGTACTTTTCTACCAGTACGCAGTAGTCTGTATAATCTGGAAAAAAACTTTGTCTTCCTTTTATTGTTCAAAAACTTTGTGTTTGGTAAGCTTCCAAGTGTCCTAAAAGGTCTATTGGCAGGGGCAAGGGGGGGCAGTTCACTACAGGATATTTCAGCTGTCTGTGGCTGTAACCATGAAGCTAATTGTGGAAGAGGCTTTGATAGCAGTTTTCCTAATACTAGGGTTTTTTCTCTCTCATAAGACACTTAGCATAATTGAGGGAATTTGTAATACTTCGCCTATTTTTGTATCTATTTTGAGTTGTCTGGTAACATGCAGGATCTGTAAACTGGAATGTACTACAGTCTTATAATTTTCTACTTCTGTGTCACTGAGATAAATGGGAAAGTAGGTATGCTTGACTCCTCCTTGGTAGTGTTACAGCCTTACCAATGTAGTTAAATGTTTTGCTGTACTTATTTGGTGCCTCAAAAGATTGCTAACTTAAGCTTTTTAATGCTGCTGTTTAGAGACCTCTTTTTGCTATTGGGTTTAGGCATGTTAGAATTTTTTTTTCTTTCCTGAGCTGTGTTGGAAAATACATCCTCAGTAAAGATAAGAACCAAAACTCACTTTGCAACTGTGTGTTTTCCCTACCTCCGGAATGGTTATCAGAGAGATGAGAGGCCAATTACATTATGAAGGCACCTTCTAGAGGGTTCTTTAATTTCATTTTGGTCTGTTGGAGACAGGAATGTACTATTCTTTTGCCCCCTCCAATTACCACAACATTTTCTATATTTCTGCCACTTCTTTATTAATAGATCCTTGCGACATTTTCATAGGTTTGCTATCAGACATGACTTTGGTTTAATCACCTGAATTTTTTAATTGTAGCTGTTTTGAGTGTGTAGGAGTTTCGATTTTTCTAACATGCATGCAAAACTCTACTTCTGCAATGCAGCAGTAATGACAAAGTTATGTTACTGTGTAACTAACACCTTGAAAACCCAGCTCTAGGGTTGATTCAGAGCTGTGTCCCATTATTTGTTTTTCAGAGGATTATTCTGCCATGCACCACTCTTTTCTTTGTATCTTGTTTATTTACATAGTGCCAGCTGCTTTTACTTTTTATGTGGCCTAATGTTTTTTAACCTTTTTTTAACCCTCAACTGAAAATATTTTTTCCCATGTGTGCCGTTTGTCATCTTCATATTCTTTAATCTACTTTCCTCAATAGTCAAACAAAAGGTTTGGAGTGTGTGTGTGTGTGTGCACAATATGCTATAAAAAAATATATTTTAGAAAGATTAAGGGGTTATGTATTCAAAAACCTTGTTTTTTCTTTTCGGTGGAGGTGCTACAGTAACAGCTTATAGCTGTTACACAGGTATGTTGGTTTTTATCCTTGTCACTTCTCTGTGAGATGACAAACTTGTTCTGTATTTAAAGCATTACGCTATTGGGTAATTCTAAGATGAAAGTTTAGGTGAATATCAACATTGTTAGGGTTCCCAGTCCCTATAAGACTCCTGATTTAGGCTTCCATTTTTTCCTCATGAAACCATTATCACAGATCCCACATTGATCCATGTAAATGCACTAGCAGGCTGCTGCATGGTGCAATGATTGAACACATTTATTTGTGGTGGATCTAGCTGTCATATGGCCACAAGAAAAGTCAGTTTGGTGAACTGATCCAATGGAAAATGAATTAAGTTGTTCACAAAAGCAAAGTCCGTTGCTTCGGCTCTTTGTGTCTAACTTCATGATTGATGGATCTGACGTAAGGAAAAAAGTGTGTGCCTAAGGGTGCAGAAAGAGCAGGATCAGTATTCTTTAGCAGTTAGCCTGCTGTTACACAGAGACAGATGTAAAGTAAAACGTCACCCTTAGGGTAGGCAGCAGTTTTTTTGGAGGACCAGTTCTGCTGGGAGGCTGTATTTTGTGATCTGTCAAAAGTGGACTGTACTCTAAGGAGTGCAAACATTTGGAGAAAGACAACTTCAGTGTTGTTTTGATGCCAAGTCTGAGATGAGATTATGAGATTTCTACTGCTCAGTTATTTTAACGCTTATTTTTCTCAAAGTTGAGCAAAGGCAATGTTTAAAGGTCTGCTTTAGTGATGTGCTAAATGTGATTAGAGGACACGGTCACAGATAAGACTCATTCTTGAGCCTATATCTATTTCAAATACCGTGCTTTTGCATTACGAATGGTATGGTTTCAGTAGTAATGGAATCTGAACATCTTGCAACTGCTGTTTTCTAACTTTGTGTGTAAAACCTGTGAATTAGATAGGGGTGTGGTTAACAAGCTGTCTGTTGAAACCTAAGTGAAACAGTTATTTCGATCATTCCAGAACTGCTGGTCTAGGAGACATCCTCAAGTTGTGTAACTTAACTCTTTTTCTACTCCTTTGTATAACCTTTGATTCACAAAAGCTTCTTACTTGTGCTGAAAAACCTCACACAGGAATTGTCCCCTAAGCAAATGTGTTCAAGAACTCTGAATGTCAACTTACGTAACTTTTCATAAATTTGCTATTTATTTTACTGCAGTAGATTCATTGCTGTTCAATGCAAAACTAAAAGAATATTGCAAAATCAAGAACATTGCAAAAAGAAATTGCATGGTATTTAGCATATCTGTTGATTTACTCTGTTTTTCCTTCAATACAGGGTAATGTTTTCTTGAAGAATTGGATGGGTAGATTTTTCAGTAACATTTTCTTTCTCAGTTTCTAAGAGGTATAAATGTGTTGTTGAGAAAACTTTGACAAACAGCTTCATAACTGCAGAATATGTTTAGGAATTTAGAAAAAATTTGTTCTATTTAGTTTTAACTTGTGTCTTGTTTCTTCAGGGTCATGATGAAGAAGCTGTTGTGGATATGGGCAAAATCAGCTCTACTATCAATACAAACTTTGAGAAAGAAGAACTAGAGAGTAAGTTTGTGGTGGTTTTGTTTTTAATTAGCATGCATTTTTTTGCCTTGGTATAAAAAAAGTCTATTTTCCTTCAAGTGCAGCCAGTATCGCTAAAAGGAATCAGAATTTTATGTCCATCATGAAATTCTAGGAATAAAAACAGTGAACGGCAGATAACCTGTGCTGTTTTTTGTCTCTGTGCATGCTAAAAATACTTGCCGTTATTTAAATCTGTCACAGAAAAAAAAAATAAAAAAAAATTATGAAGCTTTTCCAGGAAAGCTTGCTTCTGAGATTGGAAGTTTGAAAAAATTATCTTCCCAGGAACTACTGACCTGTTAGCCTCACCTCTGTGCCTGGGAAGATTATGGAACAGATCCTCCTAGAAGCTGTGCAAAGGCACATGGAAGGCAGGCAGGTGGTTCGAGACAGCCAGCATGGCTTCACCAAGGGCAAGTTCTGCCTGACCACCTAGTGGCCTTCTATGATGGGATGACCACAAGGGAGGAGGTACGGATGTCATCCATCTGGACTTGTGGAAGGCCTTTAACATGGTCCCCCACAACATCCTTCTCTCTAAATTGGAGAGATAGTTTTGATGGGTAGACTGTTGGGTGGATGAGGAATTGGTTAGATGGTCACATCCAGAGGCTAGTGGTCAATGGCTCAATGTCCAGATGGAGATCTGTGATGAGTGGTGTCCCTCAGGGGTCTGTATTGGGATATAGACAGTGGGATCAAGTGCACCCTCAGCAAGTTTGCAAGTGACACCAAGCTGAGTGGTGCGGTTGAGATGCCTGAGGGACAGGATGCCATCCAGAGGGACCTGGACAAACTGGAGGCGTGGGCCCATGTGAACCTCATGAGATTCAACAAGGCCAAGTACAGGGTCTTGCACTTGGGGCAGGGCAACCCCCAGTATCAGTACAGGCTGGGAGATGAAGAGATCGAGGGCAGCCTTGCTGAGAAGGACTTGGGGGTACTGGGGGATGTAAAGCTGGATGCGAGCAGACAATGTGCGCTGGTAGCCCAGAAGTCAACCCTATCCTGGGCTGCATCAAAAGAAGCATGGCCAGCAGGTTGAGGGAGGGGATTCTGCCCCTCTGCTCCCCTCTGGTGAGATCCCATCTGGAGTCCTGCATCCAGCTCTGGAGCCCTCTGCACAGGAAGACATGGACCTGTTGGAGTGGGTCCAGAGCAGGGCCACAAAAATGATCAGAGGGATGGAGCACTGCTCCTATGAAGAAAGGCTGAGAGAGTTGGGGTTTTTCAGCCTGGAGAAGAGAAGGCTCCAAGGAGACCTTATTGCAGCCTTCCAGTACTTAATCGGGGCTTATAAGAAGGATGGGGACAGACTTTTTAGCAGGGTCTGCAGCAATAGGACAATGGGTAATGGTTTTAAACTGGAAGAGGGTAGATTTAGAGTAGATATAAGGAGGAAGTTGTTTTATGTTGAAGGTGGTGAAACACTGTCACCACCCAAGAGGTGGTAGATGCCCCATCCCTGGAAACATTCAGGGTCAGGTTGGACGGGACTCTGAGCAACCTGATCTGGTTGAAGATGTCCCTGCTCACTGGAGGGGTAGTTGGACTAAATGACCTTTAAAAGTCCCTTCCGACCCAAACTTCTGTGATTTATGATTGCTGTCAGTATGTCATTTCCCCACATGAACGCTGTCAAGTTCTGCAGAATCAGAACTCAGGGAGCGGGGGTTATGAGGGAGATATTTGTTTTGCTTTCTGAAAGTTAAGTGTCCTTGTGAGTGTTGTCATACACTTTAAATACTGAGAGTCTGAACAGGTAACAGTGCTTCTAGTTCCATGGTAAACTATATATTCCACAATCTGCAGTCAGTTAACGCATTATGGAATCCTGGTAGTCTTAATTACTTAGGATCCTGCATGTAGCAAGAGAAATGGCATCAAGTTAGTTTCGTATAGCAAAATTAGATATTTCATCTGAGATCCAGTTTCTTAACTGACTTGAAAAGGGAGTAGATTGGGATGAAGATTCATGGATGCGATTTAGTGAAGCCAGAGGAAAAAGCTAGGGAGATCTAGTGTTAAAAACTTTACCTTTCACGTGAAATGCTCTGAAGGTTAATTAACATTTGCAAAATGCTAGAAGACTCTCAGTAGATTCACTAAGTAGTATTTCCTGACAGTACTGACTCTTGCTGCTTCAGAACACTGGAGAGCCATTATAGCAGCAGTTTTTAACTGAGAAAAGTTGATTTAGGTTGCTGTCACGTTTTTTTTATACTGTGGTCTAACAAGGGACAGTTTAAAGTGATTAAAGTTGTTTGTTGCTGTTGCAGTCATACTCTTGCTTTGTTCCCTTCGGTCTGTTTCTGCTTTCCTTCTTGTACTGACACTTTTGTTTGTCTGACCATACCATATGCCTGGTTGAGTCTGTTAAGCCAGCAGAAAATGTAAGAGTTCTGACAAAGGAAAATGAGAGGAAAGACCTCAGCAGCTGAGCACCCCAAACCAATTTGCCACACAGATGGATGTGCGCCAGTGCTGAGCAAAGTAAGTGTGAATATGAGGCTGAGAGGTGCAGTGGTGGAGGATGCCCCTTGGATGGGGTTGAGCTGTGGTGAAACCGCTGCCATGCCTGTTGCTGCAGTTAAATCTTCAGTGCAGATTTAAGCTGTCTCCTCTTGCATTTCCTTCTCTTGCTTTTGTCTGGGAGATGACCCAGAAAAAGCACGTGTCTGTTTTGCAGGGAGGCAGGGGTTAAGGGGAAGCAGGCATTCAGCTGGAGTAGTTTGCTATGCAGCAGCATGAACAGCTGTAACGCCTCAACCACAAAGAATGACATGGGAACGTGCAGCCAGATGCCTTCCCCAGTCCCTCTCGTAGCGCATTTGCAGGAGTGCTTCAGCTAGTACAACGCTGTAGTTACACAAGATACTGGGTGGGAAGGGAGGGGGTTCAGGCTGCTTGAGGCAGCTTAAGCACTTGTGTTACTAACTGCGGAAAATACTCGGGTCTTATCCGTGGCCAAAAAATAAATGAAGGTGATACCAAGACTTCTGTTTCATGAGCAATTGAGTCAATGTAACAGCTGTTGAAAGGAGGAGATGAGGAGATGTCACTGTTCTCACCTTGCTCTTAGCCATGCAGCCTTACTTTTCCTTTGGCAACGTCTCAGTCTTTGGAGTGACCCAGCATAAGTGTCTCAACGTGCAAGAGGGCTGGCTATACAGAGGTTAAATAACTAATAAGAAGTATCCGACAAGAAAAATATATTCCAGTAGGATTATCACATATCTGAAGCTTCATGTAGGCACACATTTTCACACATAAGTAGGAATTATTTTTGGAAGTTACATATATTTTCTAGTATTTTGTATATTTGTAAGAAAACTGGTCTCTTTATTGTTTTTTATTTTTTAATGGTAGAATAGAGAACGGAGGGACAGCATGTATTTTGACTTTTATCAGTGGAAACTATCCCAAAGTAAGAACAAGAAGTTTTTCCTTTCCTGTGCAAAAGAGAAAGGTATATAACTTCAGTTGTTTGACTCATATAGTTATCTTCTTTGAAATTCACTAAAAGAGGTTCTTTATATTCAGGGTGTTTTAGAGGATAGATTTATGTGAACTTAAAGTTCTGTTTATGAGATCAGTATTTATAAGCTATTACGATTAAAGTAAGTATGTGGGATTTTGAGGTTTTGTTTTTAATTCTGATGTTAAAGTCTTAACAAGGGGAGAAATTGGAATTGTTGACTGCAAGCAATAAAAAACCTCCAGGTAGTATTATTTTTCATTACTCACTTGTGAACGTTTTCTTGTAGGCTTAGGAAGACCTATAGTCAAGCATTAGGTATCGTATGTATTTTAAGACCTGAAACTGTTTCAGTCCAGTCTTCCAAACTGTTTTTCTGATGTCTTGAAAAGGAGTTCTAGGAATTTGGAACCTTTCCTGGAAGTGTGTGTTGATTCATTTTCAAGGAGAGGCAGCAAGCAGTTAATTCAGGTCAGCTATGAGGTGAAGCACTTTAAGAGCCAGCAAGTACGAGTGATACTTAACTGCTTTAAAGCCTGTACAAATTAACATTGGTTGGTCTGCTGCTGTAGAAGGCATAATTTTTCTACTAATACTAAAGCAAAGGTTTCTTGGTGTTGTCAATATTGGATACCTATATTTTCTGGAAATTTTGTGATGAAATGTTAATGGAAAGAGGGCCAGATGCTAAAGGGGAAAGTAGATCGTGGACTTAGGGCTTCCTAAGCTCTGCATTCTATTTATGGTGGCTGGGAAAGTGTGGTACATATCTGGAGTGACGGTGTTTAGGTTAGAAAGGTTAGGCACAGGCTACTTGTTTTGTAACTCTCTTCCTGTAAAAGAGAAATGGGTAGAGATGGTAAACTGCAATTGTGGGCAGACTGTGTGTGTACTAAATAAAGGTACTGCTCGTTTCTGAAGCTGTAAGGCCTTACTTTACAATAACAAATGTCAGCTTACAGAAGAGCTGGAAAGGGGAATAACATCTTAAAATAACAATTTTAAGAGCACCTAATGTTCTTAACTTGATGCCAGACTCTTTTGAGTTGCAATGAATGAGAGTAATAACAAAGTAAGGCAGGATTTGGAAGTAAGACAAGAACAGTAATGGCAGAGATATTTTATGCCATCTTGTAAAAAGCATTTTCTGTTAAGAACTATGCTTAGGGAAACCTTTCTTAAGCATGAGTTTGTATGTTTGGCTTGATATTACCAGGACTTACCTTTTTAAATGTGTAGTTAGTTTTCCACCTTGATTTGAGGATACATTTACTAGGTACAGTTTAAGGGAAAGGGGATATAGTCTGTTACTCTAGCAGACCAGTTACAGGCGTAGCAAAGATAAGGAGTTAACAGAAGTCTTGTTTCAGAAACAATCTGAGGTCAAGAGTGTATGTCTCAGTAGACTAGTTTTCTGTGGCATAAATCCAAGAAGCAGCTTTCAAGAGTTAAGATGATTTAATAGCTACTCTACTCTCACACTATCCTGTGGCAGGTGTAA